CGATAGATTAAAAACCTCCGCGCGTTTGTTGTACCCAATCGAACTGGTGTTGTCATTTTTGTTAGTTTCCCGTGGCCTCAACCGGACACAGCCGACCGAAACAACCGTGAGTTATTCCATGACCCATAATAGGCGCAGATCGGAAAAATGGAGCATCCAGCGGCTGTGAACATTTCCAAACCACATAACAACAACAAAAATAAACTGTGCTCTTTCAATTCCAAACGGCTTATCACAAAATAACAATCTACTTATGCTTATGTGAAATGATTGAATCAGCGGATACGTAAAGGTTCCTACCAGGTGCCTGAGTGCAGATTCTTCTGTGCCATCAGTTTTCCTCTTTTCATACTTGTGCTCTGATTATTCTCTGTTAGCTTACACACAGAACCACGGGACTGCTGGGTTTTCTATGCGTCTCAAGAAGGAACCCTTAGTGAAATACGTGAGTCTATACCACTGCCATTTTTATACTTCACGTCCCGGATTTATTGTAGCCAATTCATGCTTCTTTCTTGGAGAAAACTGAGTTCAGATTACTTTCGTTTCCCCCGATTAGCGTCTTGGCGATGACTCACTAATCCATTCATAGCCTCAGATGATGGATTTTCGCCCTTCTACTTTGGGGAGCTAAGAAAGCAGCGGGTAGCTACAAGTTACACTGCTTTTGATCATTTTCTCGGACTAGACCAGGGACAAACCGATCCTCGTAGAGGCTGACGCTTTCGCAAGGCTCTACGGCCATCTGGTCTGGATGTACTAAGTTATCCATCTCTCCAGTATTACCGACTGCATTTAATTGGATCATAAGGATGGTTGTATTATCTCAGTCATCCAGCTGAACAGCCAATGTAGGGGTGATTCCCATACACTGAACAGAGTAATGATATCTATTCTTTATTCTTATTCAAAGGACAGGTTGATGTTTCGAATTTGACAGCGAGCAAAGGTCGGTGGTACTTCTGCTCGCTGAAGAGATTTAAATTTAGGATCATGCAGTAATTATATTCCGGGTCGGGAAAAGCTCTTTCGTAGACGAAAACCATAACTGTTACCTGACAGTGGAAGGAGGAAACTAGACCCCGGGTGTAAGAGAGATGCATTGAAAGATATCGTGATCCCCTAATGAGCTCCTCTAACTGAGAGGTTTATTATGTACTAGGTGAATGTGTTTTGCTTTTAATTCCAGTCCACCAACCTAGCCATTTCCAAACGGAACAACACAATGGTTTTAACCCATTTTACCTATCTCTCTGTTCCTGGTTTTGTATTGACAACGCGTCATTATTCTAATTTGTATTCTTTTGTACAAACCCATTTTTGTAATATGTATTTCAGTTATTGCCCTATGGAAGTCACGGTCCGGTTGGTCTAATATCTGGCTACACATTGACATGTGTATGAAATATGACTACTGTGGTTCATTCAGTCAGATGTCAACAAAGTCCGTACGAAGTATGAAGAAGTACCTGGAGGAGGGTGGTACGACAGTACACTCCAACTGGTTGACTGGTCTGTCTCTCCGCCGGTAGTACTCCGCCTGTTGAGTCTCTATCGGTTGCTCAGCTCTCAGCCGCTGTTTCAAGAACCTGAGGCATACTAATATGTGGGCTTGGCTACAGTTTTAGTTATATAGGAAATAGATTGCAAATTTTGTCCTCTATAGTTGATTACCAGTGTAAAGGATTTTAATTCCCGGACTATGCGAGCGATACACATTGAATGAAAAATGCAGTTTAGCGAGAAAGCTTTTCTTTGTTCGATGACTCATCAACTGGGTAATGTGTCACATTTTATATCACACATCATTTTGTATAGAAAAGAGGAATCAAAATTAATGATTATTTAAATGGAGATTGTTGTTTTGCGTCTCAGTTAAAAAAAAACGGATATGGCTGATCCTGCCATTAGAACTTAAGCTCGGTCCGTGTTAATTGTGTGATTTGGAGTGGGATTGGGAGGGAGAGGAGGAGGTGGGGTGGGGTGGGGGAGGATGA